GCAATGACGAAGGAAAAGAGAAAGATGGCAGAAGAAGAGATTAATCCAGTTGTACTTAGATTAATTTTTAGACACTATACATTTATAAATTTTATGAACGAAATAACTTTATTCTTTATTTCTATATCTTACAAATTGTTATGGTGTGGACAATTGATGAATATTTAAGTAGTTGTCGATAATACCATAAGCAATATATTTTTATTCAGGAAGCAAAAAGAAATGTTGTTCTTCCTGAGATGTATAACTCAAACGACAAGGCAAGAGGTGTATTGAAGAATTACGATAAGAAAACGAAAGAAAAGGGTTTTTAGAATTCAATAAGATGAGTCCTTTTAGAATAATTATTTCATGATGATGAGGCAACAATGAAATAAAGGTGTTATGATTAATAAAAAAGGCATCGAAAGAGATACTGATGAGGATAAGCAAATGTTATATATTGGTGGTATCTGTGGAAAAGCAATGAAGGATCGCCAATGCTTTTTTCAATCTAAACCTAAAACAATCTGTAAGTCTCCCTTAACTCAACAAATGGGTAATGATATATATTTCAACCTAAACCTAAAATCACAAACACTCATATTTTAGCAATTCACTTATGTATATATTGATTTTGTTTTTGCTTTTAAATTTAATGAATGTTTAATGTTTGGTAACATATGAGGAAAAAAGCATAACTAATACTGAATAATTTATCATACTAGAGAAGGAGAAAGGAAATCAAGGTATGCACATATTTATATACATAGTATGATATATGTACATATATATGTACATATCTATATGTATACACATGCTTAAGTGTTTGTTTGAGATGTAATTCACATAAACTAAGCATAAAAACCTATGAAAATATATATATGCATATATTTATATCCATATAGAGTTGAAGTTATATATGTGTGTATATATATTTTAGTGTTTGTTTAGGATATAATCTCACATAAACTGTAACACCCCGCCTATCATTGTATTAAAATGATTTGAAAACTCTATTTATTCGGGTCTTTAACCGCTTTAAACTTAATTAATTTACGTTGTTTAATATTTATCGTGATTTGTGATTTTGGTTGATTTTTATTTATTTAATGTTATTTAAATTTTATTTTAAATAATTTTATTTTATTTTATTTTAAATAATTTTAATTTAACTAAATTAAATTGAGAATGAAATTTAGAAAAAAAAATCGGAGAAACAGGAAAATTCCCGTAAGAAAAATCTCGCGAGAAAGCTGGTTGCCCACATGGGTGCAGGGCACTATGCGCGCACAATGCGTACGTCCCCTCCGCACGCACACAAGCATGGGGCGCGCTGTGCGCACGTCCCCTCGGCACGCACGGACATGCACATAGCGTGCATGTCTCATCCACTCGCACGGTGCGGGGTCAGGACCTATGCACGCCTCTTGTCATACGCAAACGGGCAGTCCGCGCGTCACCTCTAGCGTGGATGAGCCCTGTGCTCCTTGAGCCTGCGCATAGTTGGCATGCACGCGCTTAGGCCCTGCAAGCACGGTAGCAGGCCTGTACACCTGCAGGCTAGCCTGCAGCGCGCTGGCCGGAGTACTACCACCTCGGGCAGTGCATCATTGCTACCTTGGGCAGCGCATCGCTGTTATCTTGGGTGGCATGCTGCCGCCGGCAGAGGAGGCCCTTCTCTCTCATTTTTTATGTCGAGCATCATTTTCTTTTCTCTCTTCATTGAATTTTGCCACTTGGTGCGAATCCAATGGTTTCAAAATTCTATAAATTGCCCTCCCACTTCCCTTCCCCTCCACACTTCTATTCTTTCATGTTTCAAAGGTTTAGAGAGAGAGAGAGATAGTAGTCTAGTGAGTGAAAAAGAGAAAGAAATGAGAACGGTGAAGGATAAAATATCAAGATTTCAGTAAGGAATCTAGTATTTCTTTCAACATCTTAAGGAGTATTTTTAGATAAACTAATTTAATATGATTGTTAATGTACCTGTTTTGTATGCCTCTGTATTTAGATAAGTCGAATTGTTCTTATTT